GTTTTTTGTGTATTTCCTTTAGGGTGTTTGATAGCAAATAATTGGTTCTAAACATGTTAAATTACTCAAAATGTCATATTATGATTTTTTTTTAAAAGCGCTCCAAAGCAACGATTCTCTTGTTCCAGCTGAACCAATCAGCTTTTTTACAGTAGTTACACGCCAAATGGCAAAATGTAGGTCTGTGTCATGTATTGTGACAGAACAAACTCATATGCAACACGTGATCAGACAGAAATAATGTGTAATTTACATGAAATTCAAATCTAGCATCCACCAACCCGGCCAGTTCACAGACGTGTAAACATCACTTTACCTTCGGTGGAAGGATCCTAATTTGTTTGTTACACAAACAGTTTCGTGTTTCTGTGATGCATCTTCAGAGAATCCACATTCACCTCAATATTATCATTTACCTTGGGTGTGACACACACACACACACCTACACACGTACACACACCGTTGCTTGCTTGTTTGTAATCATTTTATAAGATAAAGGCTGCCAAGTTCATGCATTGTGAGCTATTTTGCCTTTTATTGTTGACTTCCTGAAATGAGGTGATACAAGCGTGGTTCATATCGAGCATTACTTGCGGAGACACGTGGTGTTTATTATTACCAGCCCACGTGATCAGTGCTTAGATCGGTGCGTGAACTTTCTTGCTTCTTAGTGTCTCCCTGAAATCCCGAGGGAGATCGCAGCATGAGTTTGATTCAGTTAACACGGGAGAAAATGTCTGACACCAGTAAGGTGAAGATAACATTTCAATATCCACTGCTTCTTCTTCTGGGTGTGAGGGTACTGGTTAAAATGGCAATTACGTGGAGCTTCAACATGAGTTAAGATTGTCATTCCGACATAATCTCAAGTGACATTAAGGCGGAACAAAATGTACAGACTGCATAAGGGGTTAAAAGAAAACAAACCCAGTGATGTGGGTGAATTAGTTTTATGTGATGTCTGTTTCTCGCAGTTGAGCCTTGCGTGGACTTTGTGCTAGATAGCTGGCTCAATTTTCCACCTGTATTGTGCCATCAAAATAGTGATGAAAATAATAACAAAATTCAATTACAATTGTTATTTCTAGTACAAAATAATATACAAGGTGATATCGAAGCAAATCTCCATAAAACCGTTGGAGCAGAGGATCTATCAGCGTTTCTTTAATGGTGCCACATCACAAGATAAGTGGAAAGACTGAGTATGTTAGCCTGAAAGGCCTTCTTTGTTAACCGGGCACGCACAAGATGAACTGAAACTTCTTTTTCAAATGAAGCCAAGAAGGAGATATTTACATTCAAAGCTTCCATTCAAAACTGGAGAATTGCTGGCTGTGCGTCATCTTTTTTTTTACTCGTTCTTATTGGATAAAGGTTTTCACTTTCGATCTTTTTTATTAAGTACATTCTGGCTCTGCAATAGCCTCTCATTACTGTAGGTGATTGTAGACGAAGGTCACCTTTACAGAGTGAGGTATAGCAGCCGTTTTATAACATAAGTGGTTCTCTCACTGCCAACTATTCAGTGTATACCTGTGAGGTGAAGCGTGCCCACTCACACCTGGTTATGCCATAACAGTAGTGCTAAAGGTGTTTAGTGTAGAACGCGCTTTTATAAAAGGCACTAACCTCCAAAGACTGTCAATCACTAATACATCTCTTGTTTACGTGTCTTCTGTCATTAAATAATCACACCGTTTACTTTCAGTTGTTTTGATCTGGGCCACAGCAGTTCATTGGCATTTCTGCTGCATATATCAGAAATGAAATCACAGTGTTCCTCAGAGGGCAGCCTGTTGGAGTCTGAATGCCATCTTTGCTGACATTTTGAGAGCACAGAGGAGTAAAAGTGTAATGATAAATATTTGAGGCTTGTGTAATGTGGCAGCAAATATTTGGCCATGTTAGCTTTGTGTTTCACCCTCAGTTACAGTCAATAATGTGTTTGTGGATTTTCATTGGAATAAGGTAATCAGATGGTGACAAAGGTTATTTTTTCCTCCTTGTTGTCAATAAAGCCTGTTTGAACTGATTAATGCCCTGTCAGGGTG